GTCGGCGTCGGCGGCAAACATATGATCAAATAACGAGCCGTATGTCCAACGAAACTCCAGTTCCCTGATATGGGTAAACACTGGCAATAGTTTATCGATTATGGCGTCTACTTCATCATCGCTGCCATTGTAATCACCGAAATCAATGAATCGGGTGATACGGTTAGAAAATTTTGTGGTAAATTTCCGAAATGTTTCACTGGTTAGTCGCCGGAAATCTAGGCTAACTATCGTAAGTTGTGGACAGTTATCGGTAATCGTATCGACCAATCGATTGTAGTCCCGATCGCTGACCAATTGAACCGTTTCTTCCAATTCGTCGTCATAATCGTTGTCTACTATATGTATGTCCAGTAAGTTTGGACACTTACCGAACAGTGCACAGACACCGTCTACATCACTGTTGTCCATCGGTTGATGACTAGACCGACGGCGGCGTATCCATTGAACAGTATAACCATTAGTGCTGTTGTTGTCGTCGTTGTCCTCAGGTTTGGCCATAACAACAGYCAAAAACAGTCGGGTTTGACCAATGAATATACACCGTTGAAACTGTTTGGACACACACTCTAGCCGTAGTCTATCGTCAATGGCCAGAGGTTTGAGCAGTAATTTGCATAAATCATCGCAAAATCGGTCGGCAAATGATGCCCGTGACGGGTGTTCCTCAATATTATCAGTGGTGGTGGGGGTGATAGTGGGGGACAACATATTAGGTAAGGGATGGTATCGATAATAGTTAGTAATAGTTATTACTTTGAAAATATATACTTATTTTTAACAGATATTTAATAGATATATATATTATTTGATAAAAAAAACACAAAAATTGATTTTCAATACAACTACTACTATAATATATGTCAAATAAAAGTGTATTACAATATATGAAAGCAATGCACAGGTAGTACAGGTAGTGCTGCACAGGTATTATTGATTTAGTTCAATGGTATGCAATGCCTGTATACCTGTATATTATTATTATGCAATGTATTGTGTATTATAAGTTAGTAGTAGTAGTTGTAAAATATAATGTAAATGTTGTAATAAAATAATTGTATTATAAAAATATTGTATTCATTTAGTTATTTATTTATTTATTATTTTTTTTTAAAATTATTATTATTATTATTAGTAGTAAAAAGTTATTTACATACAGTATATACATCTGTATATCTACTGTATTGTATATATTATAATAATAATAAATTTAATGTAAAATTATTAATATTATTATTATTAAACTATTTTAATATATTCAAAAAAATATAAAAACATTAAACTTATTTAATTTTGATACTAATTTTTTTTAAAAATATAAATTAGAAAATTAAAAAAAAAATTAAATAAGTTTAATTAAATTGACAATAATATAGATTAAATTTTTTTTTAAAACATAATATATATATGTAATAAATAATAAATAAATGTTGGGTTAGTGAGTGAGTGAGTGATAGACAAAGAGAGAGAGACAGAGACAGAGAGAGAGACAGAGAGATACAGAGAGAGAGAGAGAGAGAGAGAGAGAGAGAGAGAGAGAGAGAGAGAGAGAGAGAGAGAGAGAGAGACACAGAGAGAGAGAGAGAGAGAGTACCTAATCGGGTGATGGCATACAATTCAATCGTTCGTAGGCCGCCTTCTCCAGCGATTCCCGATAGTCGGGATGGGCTAACCTAATCAGTTCGTAGGCTCGTTGTCGGTAGTTTTTACCAAACAACTGTCCGATACCATACTCGGTAACCATATAGTGTACATGAGCTCTAGTAGATACTACACCAGCACCCAGTTTCAAGTAGGGGACAATTTTTGATTCGCCTTTAGTAGTTATCGACGGCATGGCCAGTATAGGCCGTCCTTTGCCGTCCAGTGCATTGGCTGCACCTCTCAAAAATTCTACCTGTCCACCGAAACCTATATATTATAAAAATAAATATTAATATATTTTATGGTTAAGTTAGCTAACAATATGTATATTCCTTATACAATATATATATATACACACAAAGATACACACACATAGATATACACACATAGATATACACACATAGATATGCACACATAGATACACACACATAGACATACACAAACACATAGACACACACATACATACACACACATACATACACACACATACACACACACATACACACACATACACACACATACACACACATACACAGACATACACACACACATACACACACACACACACACATCCACATACATACACATACATACACATACACACACATACACACACATACACACACATACACATACATACACACACACACACACACACACACACACACACACATACATACACATACACACACACATAGATATACACACATAGATATGCACACATAGATACACACACATAGACATACACAAACACATAGACACACACATACATACACACACATACATACACACACACACACACACATACACACACATACACACACATACACAAACATACACACACACATACACACACACACACACACATACACATACACACACATACACACACATACACACACATACACACACACACACACACACACATACACACACATACACATACATACACACACACACACACACATACATACACATACACACACATACATACACACACATACACACACATACACAAACATACACACACACATACACACACACACACACACACACACACATACATACATACACATACACACACATACACACACATACACACACATACACAGTATATATAGTATATGATATATGTTTAGCTAAGCGCACACACACCCTATATATCTATCTATAATATATAGTATTATTAACCCCATACCTGAATAAACCCTGGTACCAATAGAGTCGGCACATACCTGGCCAACAATGTCCACTTCAAGACACGAATTAATAGCGGTAACCATCGGATTCTGGGCAATATTGAACTCRTTGTTTACATAGTCAATGGACATCATTGTTACCGACGGGTTGTCATCTAAAAAATCCCACAATTTTTTCGTTCCCATTGTAAACGATGCGGTTATCCGACCCGTTTGTAAACGTTTATATCGATTGGTTATTACACCTATAATTTTAAAAATAATTTGGAAATTTAATTATTTTATATTTGAAATTTAAAAATTAAAAAATAATTATAAATGATTTTGTATACAGAAAAAWTTATTTATTATTTATTAAYTTTTTTTATAATTATTATTATTATTATTATTATGTAATGAATGAAAATAAAATTTAATGATAAATAATTTAAACAATATTTTTAAAAAAAGTATTTTATATTTAAATTTTTAATTAATTTTTTTTCATAACAAYAATTATATATTATAGTAAAATTTCTGTAGAAAGTTTCCTAWATAATTATTAGGAAATATATATCTATATATATGTATATATATAACTGGTATATATAATTTATAATTAATTTAAAGTTTAATATAATTATAAATTATTAATAATAGTATTTATATAAAGTTATCAATTAATTTAATTTTTTTTATATATGATATAAATATTTTATAAACTGTAACTATTTAATATATTTATTTATATATTAATTATATTAATTACAGTTTTCACTAAAACAATAGGAAAAGAAAATTAGGCCCAAATTATTATAAATTATTATTAAATTAATTTTTATTATATATGACACTCACCCACCCATTAGACAAAAAATTTTTAGCCACCCCTACASCCAAATTTTTATTTACTATTACTATTATTTTTTTAAATATAAATAATTAGAAAAATTGAATTTCTAGAAAATAAATTTAAAAAATAAATTAATATATATATATATATAAATTATTATTTGYTATATTATTGTATTAATAATAATAGTATTMATTTAATTAAATATATATATATACTGTATTTGCATATATATATATATATATATATATATATATATATATATATATATATATAGTTTTATATAAATATTTTTACAAACTGTAACTATTTAATAAATTTATTTATATTATTATTATATTGAATAAAGTGTATATAATATTAATAGATTGCTCGCGTATTAGGGAATTATTAGTAAAATATAATTTTAATTAAATTTTTATTAACAATTTATTTTTTTAAAAAAATACAATTGAAATCTATGACATCTACCTATTGACTCAATTTTTTTAGCCACCCCTATAGCCCACCCACCCGGATAATCTAATATGTGATTAATTAATTTTTAAATATATATATATATATATAATTTTATATAAATAACTGTAACTATTTAATAGAGTTATTTATATATTAATTATATTTATTATAGTTTACATTAAAATAATAGATAACACCTGTTAGGCTGAAATTATTATAAATTATTATTTTTAATATATTTATTTTATTTTTATTATATATAAATAATTCAAACTTTTTTGACACCCACCCACACATTAGACTAAATTTTTTTAGCAACATTGACTTTCTAGAAAATAACTAAAAAGTTAAAATAATWTTTATATATTTATAATTTATAAATTATTATATTAATAATAGTAGTATTAATTTAATTAAATATATATATATATATATATATAGTTTTATATAAATATTTTTACAAACTGTAACTATTTAATAAATTTATTTATATTATAATTATATTGAATAAAGTGTATATAATATAAATAGCCSGTATATTTTAGAAAATTATTATAATTTAAAATTTTATTTACTATAATTTTTTGTTGTTAACAATTGAAACCTATAACATACAGATACCCCTCTACCCTCCCCCACCATTGATTAATTACTCAATTTATTTAGCTACCCCCACCCCCGCCCGGCAAACCACTAGGATTTSTATGATAATGATAGRATAGGATAGGATATGGAGGACATACCTAAATTGCACAGATCGACCACACCGTCGGAAAACATTTCCGTATGAACTCCCAGATCCCGRTGACCGGTAAGCATAGCGAGTACAATATCGGGTAGATTACCGATACCCATCTGAATGGTCGAACCGTTTTCAACTAGATTTTCGGCAATCAATTTGCCGATTGCCAACTCAATCCGGGTCTTGCGTTTGGTCCCGTACTCGGGTARTGGCATATCTCCCGSGACTAGTGCTGCAAATCGGGATTCATGTACAATGGCGTGACCTGTGGGGGTACGGGTATAACCAAAAAAAATATTATTATTATTATTATACACTAATGTAAGAGAAAGTTGTATATAATTTTGTTAAACAATTTTATAAATATTTTTTCTAATAATTAAATACAAGTATTATTTTTAATTATTTTTAAATACAGTCTATTATATACTTTAGAAATATAAATAAATAAATATTGTATTTAATTTGTTTTTATATAAATTATAAATAAATTATTAATTTAAAAAAGATAATGACATTATTTTTAAATTATAAGTAAATTATTAGTAAAATATTGATATTATTTTTAACTATTATATTAAATGTAAATATAATGTGTATTAGAAAAAAAAATTAAATAAACTTTTTTTTAAAAATAAATTAATATATAATAAAAACTTTATATATAACTAAATTAATAAATTAAATTAAAAAAATCGAAAATAAAGTCAAAACTAAATGATTTAATATTAAAATCAAACTCAAAAAATAAAATAAAATAAAAATACTATAAATTTGTTGTTAACTGCAGTTATTTTTTTTTAAAAATTTATCAAGGTAGTATTATTTTAGTACAAATGTACGGGTATACTGACCACTGGTTCGGGGCATTTGCTGGTTGACCTGACCGATAACATGTTTGGCGCACTGGACAGCTGCACGGGCCACGTCTACCGACGTACCCAACGAGTGGTAGCCATGTTTATCGGCGGGTGTTACCGATACCAGTGCCACATCCAAACCTATAACACCCGTATAAAACAGTTTGGGTATATCACTGAGGAATACCGGGGTATAATCCGATCGTCCATCGCATACAGATTGACGACAATTACCGCCCGTAAACAACGAGTTTGATCGGAATATATCGGCCATTTCTGGCCGGTTATAGTCGGCGTCGCCCGACGTATGCGTATGATGTACCCGTATGTTACGTAATCGGTGGTCGAGGCCATGTCGGGCCAGTGCCTGAACCAGTAGCCGGGGTGTAGCGGCAGCACTGTGCACAAACACGTGGTCACCTATTTAAATATTAATTATTTAATTAATTGATCAAGGTTAAACTTCAAATTTTTGTTTAGTATTATAATATTAATCATGCATTATATATATATTAATATATAGGGGTAGTTCATATAATACGTTCAAACTTGATGGGGGGGGGTGGGGGTTTGCTAAAGCAAACTTTTACAAAAGAGGGGGAGAGGAGGGGTAGAAACTTTTGAACTTAGATAATATATTATTTCTTAGTGATGGGGGTGGGGTGGGGTGGGGATAAGCGCGGTTAAGGAAATGCAAACGTATTTTTTTGACTACATGCTAACAATTGCTAACATAGGGTCGAGAGGGGGGGTGGTTTAGATTTCTTTAGAAATTCGAACGTAATATGTGAATCGTTCCATATCTAAATAAATTATCCACAAAAAACACACTAATCTATAGTACAGTACTGTATATATATAAATAAATTAGTATCTATTTTGTTAATTAATAAATAAATTTAATTAAAAAAATATTTATAATTTTTATATATATATATATATATAAATATACTGAATGTTTCTCATTTGCTTAATTTTTTAGTTAAATAATTTTAATTATATTTATGAAAAATAATTCTATGTAATTATTTACAGTTTTTTTTACAAAAATAAAATATATAATTTAAATAATTTAAAATACAAGATAGTTAAATTTTTTTGTAAAAATCATTAAAAATAAATTTTTAATTTATTAATTAACAATAATTTTTTTTGGATTTATATTTTCACATTTTATTCATATGAATATTTAAATGATTAAATAATACTAATTTTTTCCCAATAATAATAAAACATTTTAAACTATTAATAAATATAATTTTATTGAATAGATTAGTCAGAAAATAAAATTATTGATTGAAATTATTCACATTTTATATGTACTGTATTTTATAGTTTAATAGTTGAAAATATTTTATGTAAAATTTTATATCTAACGGTCAATTATTTTTTAACCCTGTATCTATATTTGTTAAACACATACACACACTGACACATACACACTGACACATACACACTGACCCATACACACTGACACATACACACTGACACATACACACTGACACATACACACTGACACATACACACTGACACATACACACTGACACATACACACTGACACATACACACTGACACATACACACTGACACATACACACTAATACATACATAAATACATATAATATATTGAACTTTATTATACATAATAAACTGTTAGATTATTTATTGACATTTAAACAATTTTTTTTAAATAAATATATATTTTATTTAAAAATACTCAATTAGATAAGTATAACGGTTTCAAATTTATTAACTGTAAATTTTCGTGGAAACTTTCTTGTATTACTGTGTATTTTATTTAATATTTTCAAATACAGTAGTTATAACAGTAATTATTATTATTATTATTATTATTAATATCTCAATCAATCAATCAATTTTAAAATTAACATGCTAAAAAATTACTATTTATTTATTTATTTAATTAATTATTATTATTATTTATACTGTAATACTACTAATACTACTAATATTACTTCAAATTAATTAATTAATTAAAAACTTTAAAATAATAATAATAATAATTATTATTATTATTATTAGTATCAATCCATACATACCTGACTTGACAACACTGACGGCCTCATCGGCGGACATCCACTTCGGTTTGCGGTCGGGTATGACTTGTGTCAGATCAGTAGCATTGGTATAATGATAGTACTGTCGACTACTATGTTGAGCACCACCACCACCACCATCACCAACAATAACTACCGGTGCTCTACTATACTGACCAATAGTATTGTAATAATTTTTCAAAATTGATAATCTTTTAATCGATGACATAGTTTATAATAATAATTATTAATTATTAATTAATTTTATAAATATTAATTGAGTACTAATTAGTATTTAAAAAATCTATTTGTTTATTTAAACAAAATTATCTTGATCAATTATAGTTTTAGGATTTTAAAAAAAATTAATTAATTTATTTTTTAAAAATAATTATATAATTAAATTAAATTTTTAGTATCAATAGCTAATAACATATAAATACAATAATTTCTCTGAAATAATATTTATTATTAAACAAAAACAATCAAAAAAATTATTGCATTTAATTTAATTGCTGTGGTTTTTATCAATTTTTACTATTAATATATTTATGATAATAATAATAATAATAATAATATTAGAAAAATAAAATAAAATTTTAATACCAAACAATTAGATTTCAAAACTACTAAATTGATAATAATATTTATTTATTATATTAATAGTTTTATATTATAATATAATGTAAAACTGTTATTAATATAATAAAGTTTATAATAAGATAGTAGTGTTTATTACTTTATTAAGTAGTATTAAAATAATTTCAATATAATTTAAATCATTGTTATATACAGTATATATATTATAGTTTATTAATTAAATTAATTTAAAAACAAATATTTTTTTAAAAAAAATCATGTTTTTAATGAAAAATCACAAATTTTATTTCAAATTCAATTTTTTAAAACATTGGTCTAAATTAATTTTTACAATTTTTTTAGCACCTAGAATAATTAAATAAAACAAACAAATAAAAATAAAATTTTTTATAATAATTAATAATAATAATTAAATTTTGAGCTAAATTTTGTCAAAATAATAATAATAATAATAAATTTAATAATGATTTCAATTTTTTTTTTTGAATTAATAATTTCCAAAAAATATAATGGTATTTATAATTATTTATCAATTAATATAATTTTTAAAACTAAAATTTTTTTATCATTATTAGTATTATTTGCATTTGTATTTTTTGGACAAATTTATATATAATATATATATTAAATATAATATATATAAATTAAATGCAAATATATTTAACTATATATTTTTTTTGCCAGTATATGTATGTATGGTTTGTATGTCTATCAAAAAAATAGTGTCTAATATTAATAATAGTACAATAACTTTGCTTCATGGTAATTTTTTTTAATAATTTTTTTAATTATTTTAATTAGATATCTAAATATAATAGTTTTTTTGTAAGTACCGGTAATTGAAATATTTGTTCAAAAAAAAATAATTGCTATTAAATATGAGATTATTATTGTCTATTTAAGTGATTATATTATAAACTAATTTATTTAACAAAAAAAACAAAATTAAAAATAAAATTTAATTTTGTATATTTTTAATTGTATTTTAAATATTTCTAACTAACTATTGATTTTGTTGTTGTAGTGTTTTAAAAATAATAATAATAATAATTTTTTTTAGGTAATTGTGTGATATAGCGAGTGAGTGAGTGGTTGGTTGGTTGGGTGGGTGGGTGAGTGAGAGATAGAGAGATAGACGGACGTCCTAATCGGGTGATGGCATACATTTCAATCGCTCGTAGGCAGCCTTTTCCAGGGCTTCTCTATGTTTGGGATGGGCTATATTGATCAGTGCGTAGGCACGCTGTCTATAGTTACGGCCAAACAGTTCGGCAATACCGAACTCGGTGACCAAATAGTGTAGGTGTGCCCGTGTGGTGACAACGCCGGCACCCGGTTTCAGTATGGGTACGATTTTCGATTCGCCTTTACTAGTTAGGGAACCCATAGCCAGTATAGGCTTTCCTTTACCGTCCAGGCCGTTGGCTGCACCGCGTAAAAAGTCTACCTGTCCACCGAAACCTATATATATATAAAACAAATAATTGTTATATGTGTATATACTATAATACCAGTATATATATATATATGAACTATCGGTATATTCATATTACACACACACATGCACACACTCATACATACACATACATACACACATACATACACATACATATACATACATATACATACATATACATACACATACATACACATACATACACATACATACACATACATACACATACATACACATACATACACATACATACACATACATACACATACATACACATACATACACATACATACACATACACATACATACACATACATACACATATACACACATATACACACATATACACACATATACACACATATACACACATACACACACATACATACACACACACATACATACACATACACACATACATACATACTCATACATACACAAACACACACATACCTGAGTAAACCCTGGTCCCAATAGAGTCGGAACAAACTTGGCCAACAATGTCCACTTCAATACACGAATTAATAGCCGTAACTTTGGGATTCTGGGCAATATTGGCCTCGTTGTTGACATAGTCGATGCCCATCATAGTCAGGTAAGGGTTGTCGTCCATCCAATTGAACAGTTTGTTGCTACCGATACAGAATGAGGCCGTAATCAGACCGGTTTGTAGTTTTTTGAATCGATTGGTAATAACACCTATTGATTGATTGAGGTAAAGGACAGGTAGGTAAGGGAGAGAGAGAGAGAGAGAGAGAGAGAGAGAATTATTAGACATGTTATGCAAAAAATGTTTGGTCGGTATATTTATATTGTGTTGTGTTGAGGACACGGACCTAAATTAAACAGATCGACCACACCGTCGGAAAACATTTCCGAATGTACCCCGAGATCCTTGTGCTGAGTACAGTCAAGCAGTACGGCATCGGGTATGGCACCGATACCCATTTGCATTGTAGCACCGTCTTCGACCAGATTTTCGGCAATCAGTTTACCGATTTGTTTTTCAACATCAGTCAAGCCTTTGGATTTGTGCTCCGGGATGGGTAGCTCTCCTTCGACCAGTGCATCGAAATGCGATGTATGGACAATAGCGTGACCTACCAGTGCGTATAACAACAAACAATAATAATCGGTAATTAGATACTACAATAATCAATCGGTAATAGCGGTGTAACTGACCACTAGTCCGAGGCAACAGGGGGTTGACTTGACCGACAATATACTTGCTATGCTGTAGGGCTGCCCGGGCCACGTCTACCGACGTTCCCAGCGAATGATAGCCATGTTTATCGGCCGGTGTCACCTGCATGAGGGCTACGTCAGGTTTGACAATGCCTTTGTAGAAAATTTTCGGTATATCCCCCAGGAATATGGGGGTAAAATCCGATCGACCGTCGGCTATCGATTGGCGACAGTTGGCACCGGTAAACAAGGAGTTTGAACGRAATATACCGGCAAATTCGGGTCCATTATATTCACCGGCACCTTCCGTATGTATATGATGTACGCGTACGTCCCGGAGTTGGGCCTTTTTGCCGTAAGCGGCCAGTGCCGGTACCAGTACACGTGGCGTAGCGGCCGCCCCATGAATGAACACGTGATCGCCTGTAAAAATTAAATATAAATTAATTAATTAAAATATTTATTATAAGTTTATAATTTTTTTCTTAATTTTATAAAACTAATAATAATAATAATAATAATAGTAATTTTGTTGTGGGGGTGCAAAATAAATAAATATAAAAAAAATAGGTACATGCTAAAAATATTTAAATCTATAAATTTTTTAATAAATTCAAAATATTCCAACTAAAATAATTATTATGTATTTTACTAAAAAATAACAAATTAATTATTATTATTTTTTTTAAATAAAAAATTTATTTTGTATATGCATAATTAAATTATAATTTGTCAGTCATTTTTTTTAAGTTAAAATATTTTTAAATACTAAATTATATCACTAATAATAATTAAATAATTACAATTAAAATTACAACTTAATTAAAACTATTGAATATTTCAACAACAAATTTGCGTTTTTTTAAATTAATTATTTTGTTTACAAATTATTTGAATTGTACGATAAAATATAATATACTGTATATATATATATATATATGATAATCAATTTCCTTAATAATAAATAATAATATATTTTTATTTATTTATTTGAAAATTTTATTATATATCTAATCGGGAGGTCTAAAGTTTAGTAAACTGTACTGTATTATGACACCCGCCACTGACCCGTCCCCTCCTATCTAATCAATGTATAGATATATAACTGTCAAAAAATAATATGATTTAAACATATTTAATTTATATTTGATAATATAATAAATTGATAAATATATATACATAAATATAAAATAAAATTGTATATAAATTAATTCCTAAATAATAATAATAATATGATATTATTATTAACAATAACTATTGATATTATAAAAATTATCAAGGTTATTGACAATTATTATTATTATTATTTAAGTACATTACTAGGTCATTTAATTAGTTATATAAATAAAAACAATTATTTAATAATATTAATATTATATGAAAATCCCTAGTAATAGATATACTATGAGATATATTTATCATATATTTTTTCATAAAAAAAACTAAATAAAATTTTTGTACTTTATATTTGTTTATTATTATTAATAATAATTTTAATAATATTTGTCATTCATTATATCAAATATGAGTTTTTGAACTTTGAATTAATTTTTTGTTTAATTTAATTTTATTTATTATTATTTTTTGTATTAATTTTTATAATTAACACACAAAATATCACTACTATGTCAAATGATTTTCCCATTGATTTAAAAAAAACTAAAGATATTTAAAAAAATAGATAAATAATTAATATTTTAAAAAATTAATTTTTAAATCAAACAAAAATGAAAATTTTAAGGAAATAAAAATACAGTATTTTTAAAATACCATAAATATATTTAGTAGTCATTCAAATAAAAAAATTATTTATATTATAATATCTGAGATAATATAAAAGTAATAAAAATAAAAAATACTAAATTAAAAGGAAATTACTAAAAAATATCAATAATAAAAAAATGGAAAAAACTGTTTTTGAAATCATATGATCTCTGAATACATATACTGTATATATATATATATATATTAATAAAAACCAAAAAATAATTTATTTTTATAAATATACAAAAAAATATGTGACATATAAATACTTAACAGTCATCTAATTAAGCAATAATTGTTTGTTTGAAACAAAAATATCAATCCATCTTAGACGAAAACATGGCCAGCATTGATGTCCTCTATCCCGAAGGTTTTGTCTTCCAGCAAGACAATGCCAGTGCATAACAACAAAATCAGTATATATGTTATATTAGTATTACAATTGAAATACAGCCAAAACTAAAATAATTTTTAGAAAAGTGTAAAAAAAATTAATTATTAATTTTGATTATTTTATTATTATATATATTTATTCTAAAAATTTCAAACAAATATATATATATAATAAAAAACTTTTATTTTTATAAATATACAAAAAATATGTGTATAACACAAAATAATTGTTTTGAAACAAAAATAATACAATTTTTGTTATAAAATAAATAATAATAAAATAATTGTTCAAAAAATAAATAAATAAAATTTAAAACAAAAATATTAATAATAACTTTAGTAAATAAAATGTATATTTTTTAAACAATAAATTTTTAAATTATTATTAATATTAATAATAAAATTCTATTAATTGTTTTAATTATTAAATATTCATATATTTATATTTATTGTCATATAGTATTTWATAATAACTGTAATTATAAATAAAGTAATTTAATAAACAATTAGTTTAACAAATATTTTTATATAATATATTTTTCAATGACATTATATCTACAATATATATATACATTGATATAYATTTWTTAAATATAAAAATAAAATATGTGCTAGGTCATCTAAAAAAAATACTGAGAATATCTCAATCAATCAATCATTGATATTTTTAAAAAAATTAGCATGCTAAAAATTTATTTATTTATTTATTATATAGTATACTGTAATACTATTAATATATTACTTCAAATTAATTAATTAAAACTAATAATAATTATTATTATAATTATTACTATTTATTATAATTACTATTATTATTATTATTTATTATTATAATTATTACTATTTATTATAATTACTATTATTATTATTATTTATTATTATAATTATTACTATTTATTATTATTATTATTATTATTATTACTGTAATACTACTACTAGTACTACTACTAATATTACTTCAAATTAGTTAATTAAAACTTATAATAATAATTATTATTACTATTTATTATTAGTATTATTAATAATACTGTAATACTACTACTACTACTACTAATAATAATAATAATAATAATAATAATAATAATAATATTACTTCAAAATAGTTAATTAATTAATTAATTAAAACTTATAATAATAATAATAATTATTATTACTATTTATTATTATTATTATTACTATTTATTATTATTATTATTACTATTTATTATAATTATTATAATTATTACTATTTATTATTATTATTATTATTATACTGTAATACTACTACTACTACTACTACTACTAMTATTACTTAAAATTAATTAATTAATTAATTAAAAACTTAATAATAATAATAATAATAATTATTATTATTATYAAATCAATCCATACATACATACCTGACTTGACAACACTGACGGCCTCTTCGGCGGACATCCACTTAGGTTTGCGGTCGGGTATGGCGTGTGTCGGTTCATTGCAATAGGAATAGTAGTGCCGCCGTCGGTCACCACCGYCAACACCACTGCCGCCAACACTGGCCGCTATACCCGTCGGTAATCGGCGGCCACTACTACCAGTAGTATAACAGTAGCGCAACATTAATGTTGTCCTCATAGTTGTCGACAACGATATGTTTGATGCCATTAATAGTTAATTAAATAATAACTTTTATTTCTCAACACAATTAAAGTGTTAAATATTTAATTTATTTTAATTTTACAGTTTTATCACTACTTGTATTATAAAAAAACACAACAAATAATATATTTTAAACACTATTTTAAATGCCAACTAAACACAGATACTAATACATACATACATATAGTGTGCACACAATTACTGTATATTTATTTTATTTTATTATTTTATATAATAAATCAAATTTGAAAAAAAAATAAAATAAAATTTTTAATTTCAATATTGAATTATTGAATATAAATATTTTTCTGTACAGTATTTAAACATTTATATAATAAATTTTTTTTATATATACAAGTATTTATAGTGTACTGTATTGTCAATGTAACAAAAATTTATGTGTGCATGTGTTTTGTGTTTGTTATAATAAATAGTACCAAATTATCACTGCTTTACCAGTAGATCATTTGGTCCTATTTTTAGATACAAATAGTTAGCTAAAAAAAATACTAAATACAACTACTTATATACAGTACATAAAGTTAGCAAAAAAATAATTAAAAATAATTATTACTGTTTAGAAAAATATAATTAATATATTTTATAATTTTAAAACAAAAATTGATACCAAAAGTAAACAGTATATAAATATTATTATTATTATTATTATTTTTATTTTTAAAATAAACTACAATCTATTTGTGATATTCAATAAATATATGTTATTTATTACATGTATAAATAGTTTAGTATTTTTACTGTATATATATTTACAGTAACTATGCTGTACTGTAGCTATTTATTTTTTTAAAAAAAATAATTGCGTAATTTATTTAATTACCTTGATGAAAATATTTGCCATTTATTTATTTATTTTTTAACTAAAATATTATAGATTTCAATCACTAGATGTCATATAATATTACATTATAAATATTTTTTTTTTTTTGAAAAATAGCGGGTTATTTAAAAATATTATTTTTTTAATATTAATTTTTTTAGATAAAAATATTTATATTATTTAATATAAATTATTACATAAAATATCAATTGTTAAAATTGTTAAAAATTATTATTAATATATATATATATATATATATTATACTTAAAAAAATATTATCATATAATAAGTTTGATTAATAATTAAGTTATTTTTTATGATTATATTATTACTATTATATAATTAATATATTTTTTTATATTATATTATACATATAAATAATAGTTTATTTTATTTATGTTTTTTATATTTTCATTTTAAAAATTTAATATATTTTTAAAGTATTATCTTTTATAATGATATTATTAATTGAGAAAAGTTTTTATTTATTTATGGTTTTATAATTATTTAGTTGCGAATAACTTAATTAATTTAATAATATAATTATTATTTAAAGAAAAAAATAATATATTTTTGTTTGTTTTTTATTTATAGATTTATTTTATGTGTATTATATATATATAACGTTATATTACTTATATAAATAACTAAATTATAATATATATGAGAAAACAAATATTGTATTATTAAATAAATTTCATATATAAAAAACACAATTTTTAGTATACAGTATACACACATACACACAAAATATCATATATTTATGAGTGATATTAATATTATTAGATAAAAATATAATTTCAATATACAGTAATATATATACTATATATTATCACATATATATAGTTAAAAGATTTTTTTTTTGTTTTAATATATATTTTTTTCCTATTTTTCTTGTTTTACTTACATTTCTCTCTCTCTTTCTCTCTCTCTCTCTCTCTCTCTCTCTCTCTCTCTCTCTCTCTCTCTCTGCTCTGCTCTTTGTCTTTGCATTTGTGATTTTTACTGCAATTTTTGCAGAAAGAAATTTTCAGTGTTCAGTGGGTTAGAAAATCGCAATGAAATACGAGAAACACACACACACTTACTCACTCACTCACTCGCTTACAAGCACTGGTAGGTTAGAGGGATTGACATCTCTCTCTCTCTCTCTCTCTCTCTCTCTCACTGAGAAATTGGTATCTTTGCAACAGCTGGTCATCTCATATCTACCACCAAAAAGCAAAAATCGACATCAAATATATGTATATATATATATATATATATTTCACACACACACACACACACTCACTAACTAACTGTACTGTATATACCATACTTTCCTTATATATATATATATATGTAACTTATATACCATATAATAGTTTGGCATTACTTGTTTAGGCCAACAGTTTTTGAGTCTAACAGAGAGAGAGAGAGAGAGAGAGAGAGAGAGAGAGAGAGAGAGAGAGAGAGAGCATAGACATCAAAAATTTCTCTCTCTCTCTCTCTCTCTCTCTCTCTCTCTCTTTAATATTACATACATTTAATACTAAAGTAATAATAATAATAATAATAGGAAAATAAATAACAAGTATTAATACTCCAATGTCAGCACATTTCAGACCCAATTGACAGCTTTTCCTGTATTTTATATTATATTATATTTGTATGTAATATGTTATATATGCCATTAGTATAGTATAGTATTAATAATATAATATACAGTAATATAACATATAGTATTAAATAGTATAGTAAACTAAACTTTTTTTTTGAATTTTATTTTTAGGTAATACTAAATGTGTGTATATTTTAGTTATATAAATAGTATACTATAGTATAGTATAGTATACTATAATGTATTGAATAGGTTTTGTTGAATTTGAAATTATTTTATTTTTTGGCTGATATGTAATGTTTATATATATGTAATGATGGGTTGGTTTGGTTGGTTAGATACTGTACTGATAATAATAATTATTATTTGGGCACAAAATCTCAGTTTCTCTCTCTATATATATATATACTGTATATATATATGTTTGAAAAATCACGCAAAAATCACACACACATCTAAATTAATCCATTACTTTATACAATATATATATATATATATATAACATACCGTTCCGTTAATATATATATACTATCTATCTATCTATCTATCCCTCCGGTATTCACACACCACTACTGAGTAAATCTCCAGTGAGTTGTATATACGCTCTCTCTCTCTCTCTCTCTCTCTCTCTCTAACCGTAATAAATATAACCCCAAATAATACTGTATTTTTGCTATTAGTGCCGGTCTATTATATATAGATATATATATATAATGTTTTTAGAAAGTGGCTGTCCAAATAAATCCATTGCCCAACAATTTATATACTATACTGTAGTACAGTATATACAGACACAATGTTTCTTATATGCGATGAAAAGTCCTGTCCTCCGTATGTCATACACTCTCTATACAGTAGTAGTAGTAGTATTGTATGGTATGGTTGGATACCATATACTGTACAGTAAAAGCCTTAAACAACACACACATTGAAATCAGTACATCACTACTACTACTACTAATACTAATAGTATATAACCATTTGCCGGCTTTTTTCCCAATCAAACTGTATTTATATACATATATATGTGTTTCTACTAAAAACGTCGGTTCCCTCTCTCTCTCTCTCTCTCTCTCTCTGTCTGTATGTCTCTCTATCTCTCTATTTATATGCCATTTCTCATGATATTTGCTATCAGTGTTAGCCATCTTCACACAAAAACTATACCCTAATCTGAACCACAATTTTCTAGGCCCTCAGCTGAGAGCTGCCGCCGCCGCCCGAGTGCTTGATCTCCCAGTGCTCAAAGAAAATACTATAATATAGTACTATATATATAATATAGTGGCGGCAACGGTGGCACCGACACTACTATGTGTGTGCAAGTGGTGGTGATGGTGGTAGTAGTGGTGGTGGTAACACCATTGATAAATTAGATGATATAGTATTTATTTATTATTATTATTACTATATTGTATATAACGTCTCTCTCTCTCTCTCTCTCTCTCTCTCTCTCTCTCTCTCTCTCTCTCTCTCTATCAATATATATATCTCTCTATCTTATACTATATTATATATATATATATTTATATATACATTGTGTGTGTGTATAAGTATAAGTGTATATCACTTTTGTATCGGATCTGAAAATTTTTATTTTCTAAATCCTAATGGAAAATACTCGGCTCAGGGATTAAAATAATGTATATATATATATATRTTTGTGTGTGTGTATTATGCTCTTAAAAAAATGCATATATAAAATGTATTTTATTTTTGCTTGCTGCATTGTTTAAGATTTTATTGTATTTATACAATATATTGTATTATATTATACAATGTATTTTCACTGAAAAATAAAATAAAAAATAATATTAATGATAAACTTATCGTTTACTATAAAAATCTATTAAAATTGTTTTTATTAAATAAAAAATAAAATATTTAAACATTTATATATTGATATATATATTTTAGACACATTTTATGATTATTTTATTTATGATTATTTATCTAATTAAACAATAAATAATATTTTTTAATTTATCTATCTATACTGTATATATATATATAATAACAATAATAAATATTTCGATATAAAATGTTATCTTAAATTATAATATATTAAAATATATAAATGTTAGTAAACTATATTTTTTTTGTTTTTGAAATAATTATGATAATTACTACTACTGTATATATATATATATATATATAACTGTTTAATATACAATATATATATATTTATATAGTAGAAAATAGTAGAAAAAAACTATATAACTGTTTTATATATGATTATAATATGATTTATTAATAATATATAAATATATATATATTTTTCAGGTGAATATGTTAGGGTGTGGACACTGGCATATACTGTACTGTTAGATCAAACGGGAACTGTATGTATGTGTGTGTCCCACAAAAAAAATTATGACAATAAAACTATATATATATATTTGATTGAATAAATATATTATACGATATATGCCTCTATGAGTATTGAATTTGCATAACTTTTTTCCAACTATTATTTGTTTTGTTTGTTATATTTGAATGAATTATATATATATATATAAATATATGACAATTGAATTGTTGGACAGTTAGTCCGCCGCCAATTGTTGGTGTTGTAGTGTTGTCGGTGATCAGCTAACTGTGCATAAACTGCTTATTATAATATAACACACACACACATAAAAAAAATTTCACTTTCAATACCTCTCCCTTTTTTGAATATAAAATATAATAATAAAAATAAAAGAAATCAAATCACAAATGGTTTTTGTGTCAATAAATTTGTCAAAAA